CCAGTGTATGGACCACCTTCCCCACCCATTTGAAATTGTCCACAAACTTGCTGTGGAGCACTCCATCCCACAGTCCATTGTTAATAAACAATGCTGGTGCCAATATTTACCTCCAAATGGAGCCGAGTAGGGGACAGTGAAGAGGTACATAAAGAAGAGGGAAGATGTGCTTGACATGCACAAATTGGTGCCAGAGGGACTCTGGGAAGAGGATCACACTGATAGCAATCTGAGGTCCCTTGAGTGCAAATGAAGAAACCAAAAGTGTAGGCACCAAAGACAGGATTTGGCTCAGCTACACCAAGAGAAGCTGGGGAAAAGGGGAGACACTGCTGTTTTTATTGTGTGAAAATACTAAAGAGGAAGATGAGCTGCAGGATGTGATCATTCCAACTCTGGAACACCAACTCCTTAATATTCATGTAAAGGACAGTAATAGCAAAAGGAAGAATTTGGGGAGAGTTTCAAGGATGCACTGAGAACCTTTCACAGGATGACCGAGGTTGTAATAGATCTCTGAAAATCTAGCCCAACTTCATTTCTCCAAGCATAAGCCTTGTCCAGAAAGATTTTGAATAGCTCCAAAAATGAAAACTGCAGCCTCCCTAAACAACCTGTGACCACAATTGATCATACACAAAGTAAGGGTAGTTTTTCTTATGTTGAATTGAAATTTCCTGTATTTTTATTTGTGTTCATTGTTGCTTATCATTTCACTAGATGCCACCAAGAATTTGGTTCTATATTCCTTGCTCTACCCCCTCCATCAGGTATTAATACAAGCTGCTAGATTTGACTCTACAAACCTTCTATTCTTGAGCTAAGTAATTTCAGATTTCTCACTCTCTTTACATGTCAGATGCTCTAATCTCTTAATCATATGCATGGCCCTTATGCCACTGGTAGCAACCCTTTAAGCTCAGCAGTTCAGGCAGTTTCTCTCATTAGGAAGCAAATTGTTTCACTGCAGAATTTGATCAGACTTGATATTTCTTTGGAAGTCAATGTGAACAAATACCAATTACCTTCATATTATTGAAAATAATTTCCATAAGGATTTGTTCTATCACCTTTCCCAGAGTCAGTGCCAGGCAGACTAGTCTTTTGTTCCTTGGATCCTCTTTCTTGCTTTTCTTGAGATTTGCTTTTTTCTTAGTCCTTAGGAAGGACTAAGGATCATTACGGCATTCCAAAGAAAATTGAGAGTAGTGTTGCAACTGCATCATCTGGCTCCTTCAGTATTTGTGGCTGCATGACAGCAGGTCCCATGAATGAATATATGTCCAGTCTGTTTAGATGTTCCCTGATAAGGGCTTTCAGAGAGACCTATTGGATCTGAAAGTAGGAAAGATACTTCTGACAAGAAACTTGAGAACCATGAGGATATATAATGCAGAGACATGGGAATTAATTTTGCTTTTTCCCATGGGTGGCTCTGCTCTTCAGAGTTCCCAGACAACCCAGTGCCACAGTTTGCAAAGTAGGATTTTCTGTGATCACTTCAATCTTGCTCACTCCATTACCCAAGCAGAGAAGAAACTGCCCACAGTAGCTTCTGCTGCACAATATAATTAGACACAAGATTTTTTTCTTCAGAAAAGTCTTTACCCAAAACTGGGAGCAGAGATAAGAGAGCCTACACAAAGAAGCCATTCCCCACATGAATGTTATTCACTAGGGTTGAGTTGAACAGAAATACCCTCTCCTGGCATTGAACAAGGTTGATAATACCTAAATTCTTTTCTTAGGGTGCTGCAATGAATGGTAGGAAAGGAGTGCACCAACCTGTTGGAAAGCCTCTTTTCCCCAAATGTAGAATTAACCTTTCTATTGAAATTTTAGATTGACAGAGTTCAGTGCAGACATGGTATGTACACCAGGGCACAGAAAAACTGTTCTATAAACACAAGCAGAATAGAGTGAGGAGCAAACTTTAGTCACTAAATGTCGAGGGAGCAGCCTCATTCGTCATTTGCATCACACCTCAAAAACTACACTGGTGTTGGCAGCTTTCTGCTCTTGACATTATCTAATTGTCTGACTTTGTCTCATTGTGTTTCAGCTATTTGTCTTAGACCTTGATGTCATTATGATATACTATGCTTAATGGTACGTGACTCTCTCAGCCTAGGAAAGATCTAGGTTTATACCTAGAAAAGATTTATATTTTACACAAAAAGCAAAAAAAAAAAAAAAAAAAAAAAAAGAAAAAAAGAAAAAAAATGTATTTTGCAACAGGTAAGGTGATAATCCTTGGAAAATTGCTCCATTCTTGAAGCCTCGCATTCATCGTAGTGAAATACCCTCAGTGAATCACGAGGTGCTGTTCAATCTTTTAACTCAGAAAAAATAACTTTTTATCTCAAAGGTGAGGTCAGCCAGAATCTTGACACTTATCTGCCCGACTCCCTTAGAATATAAGAAACTCATCATCAGGAAAAATTCTTCTTAAAATAAGTAGTCAGGCACCGTGCTTCCCACAGAGGTGATGGAGTCATTGTCACTGCAGGTGTCTAAGAAACATGTAGATGTGGTATTGAGGGACGTGGATTAGTGGGAAATATTGGTGATAGGTGAACAGTTGGACTAGGTGATTTCAGAGGTCCTTTCCAACCTTAATGATTCTACGATTTTATGTCTTTAAATCCATCCTTTGCTGCTTTTGTCTTTCCATTGTACCAGTTTGAGCTGAGATAGAGTTAATGTTCTTCAGCAAAGCTTGTATGGTGCTATGCTTTAGATTTGTGATCAGAAGAGTGGTCATAATACATTAATGTTTCAGTTGTTTCTTAACAGCACTTAAGCACTTAACACAGCACCAAAGTCTTTTCTGTTTCTCTCACCATCCTTCCAGCATGATGGCCGGGGGTGCACAAGAAGCTGGCAGGGAAAATAGCCAGTATAGGTGATCCAAAATGGCAAGGGGAATTTACATACTGTAAAACACCATATTCAGCTGTTAAAGCTAGATGAAAGGAAGAGGAATGGGGCTGCAGGGAGATGTAAGACGAGGACATTATCTTCCCAAGAAACTGATATGCATGGTGTGTGCTGCTGTGCTGGAAACATCTGCCTGCCAGTGAAAAGTAGTAAATGAATTCCTCATCTTGCTTTGCTTTGTGAACACAGCTTTTGCTTTATCCATCAAACTCTTTCATACATTTTAGACATTTTATCTCAACCTACAAGTTCTCACGCATATACTCTTCCCTTTCTCTTCCACATCACATTGCAGAGAAGTTAGCAAGAAGCTGTGTGGTTCTTGGCTGAATACTGAGGTTAATCTACAACAGTTGCTCAATGAAAATCCTGCACAGCAGGACATACTTTACAAACATTGCACAATATTACAACATTTGATATAGGTTGTTTTTTTTTTTTTTTTTTTTAGCAATAGGGATTAATACATTAGTTTAAGAACCAATATATTAGTTTAGCAAAAGGAATTCATAAGTGATAGTTCTAACTTTCCGTGTCAGCTTTAGTGGGTGAACAGTCTTGTTTTCCCTCAATAATTTTGCACTGGGGACATAACAGATTACTTTTATCTTCTGCCTCTATGATTTTGCCTCACAAGAAGTACTGGAGTCACAATAGAATACTTCTATCTTTTGCTTCAGAATGTGCAAAGGACATTTTCACTGTGTTGCACATACACTGATTTTTTAAAAAGTGGCTCACTATGGCCTAATAAGCAATGAAAATCTTCCAAACTGGGGAAAAGTGGATGGAAGTGAGCCAAAGGCTTCAGTGATTAAGCTGATGGTAAAAAGAGGGGAAGAAGCAGGTAAACTAAACTACCCTAGATACCACTGAGCATGCCCAAAGGGATATCAGCACATATTTATGAGTTCTTGAAAAAGAATGAATATGTATGCCAATGTACTGCATAGCATGTATTAGCTGCTCAAATGTAGAAACTGAACTCTGAGAGGGTGCACTTTCTTGTCAAGTCACCTGGTATGTTACTGTATTGTGAGGAATAAAGGAATGCTCCTTTCTAACACCATAGTGGAGTTGGAGAGTTTTCTTCCCAGATTTCAGATGACACAATGGCCTATCTGGAAGCTTCCAGCACAGTTTCCAAAGACTGCAGCATACATCTATGGATTGGTCAGTGACAGCTCTTCCACTCAGCAGCTCTCATCCTAGAGCTTTCCCTTGAAGGACCCCTTGAAGGGGTAAGGCACATGAATGAGTATGTCCTCTTACCAGAAGTCCTTCCTAGAGCTGCTGCCACTTCTAGAACTTGATTATAGGGTAAAGCTGCCCACAGAGTGTCCATTTTTCAAATTCCGAAGGTCCACTTGATGGATAATGCAATAGGCTGCAGCTTTTATTGTTATTTTCATTAGATAATGTTCTTAGAGCTGCCATTTTTACTGCCTTACCTGATGGTGACACAGTATGAGTCCATTAAAATGCTACGTGCGAAGAATATATATAAAGGCTCATAAGGAAAATTACGGGCTGTGAAAAATCCTTTGCAGAGAGGAAGCCCCTTTCCTATCCACAAATACAGCCAATAATTTAAAGAAAACATCAGAAGGTAGTTAAAAGACTGCCAAACAACCTACAACTGACAAACCAGTGTCACACAGCTGCTCCAGGGAGACCAGCCCATACAGCCGCTTGCAAAGCCACAGTTTCACACAGCGTCACTCACTGCCCTGTCTCTTTGTGGCACGATACAAAATCAAACACAACCGCTCCCTTGCCTATTACTTCAAGCCCGCTTATTCCGCTAAAAATTTGCATACCAGGCCTCGCCTCTCTGTGACGATCCGATATAGCGTTGCCAGTAACAACTGTTGCCCCTCCCTTTTCTTCTGCCTTCGGTAACGGAAGCGTCTGGAGTGCAAGCAGTGACGTGACCTGCACTGCTACGGTTGGGCTGCTTCCTTCTTCCCCGCCTCCTCCCCCAACACATACACTCCTCCCCACTCTCCGGCCAACATGTGGGGAGCGAGCTCGGGGTGGGCGGCAGATGCGGTGAGTGCGCGCGGGAGGGGGACGTGGGAAATGGCCGCTCCTTTCCATATGTTCCTCACCCGCCTCCTCGCTACGCGCTGCCGTTTCCTGGCCGGCCCTGCCTCACTCCATCATACCCGCCGCAGGCGTGGGGAGCGACAGCGTTGCAATGTCGGGGAAGAGGGGATGGTGTTATAGGCCGCCATCTTCTCCATTCTTCGGGAGAACACGGGAGACAAATGGGGAGATAGTGGTGCCGTGTGTGGGTTAATGCTTTCTCCCTTTCAGTAGTGCCTCTCTGTACTGTAACGGGAGAAATGGTGATAGAGCTCCGGAGGTTATCACGTGGTGTTCCCTGTACTTGTGCTAATGCAGTTCTTCCTCCTCACTTCCACTTCCCAGCCCTGAACTCTTATTTAATTATAAGTCACCCGATCACGTACCATGTTTCCTGAGAGGCCACAGGCCATGGTGCGTGTGTTCACATCAGGGCATTAGATAATGTCTGTAGGCAAAGCAGCTTTCAACAATAAAGTATAATCTGCCAAAAGGACACCAATAGAAAGCAGCCCATCTAGATGCGCCATAAAACATGCTTATTCAAGCTTAAAAGAACTAATAGGTAAATTGGGTTAGCAGTAATAATAAAGCCACACTAGTCTTAGCACAACACACAAGTGAGTTCTCTTTAGAAGGAGAATTTTGTTGTCAAAAGTAGTAGTGTTGCCTTTAGGATGTTTATGGCATACCTGGGGCCATTTTTAAAGTTGATATTAATGGGAATTGACTTTTGTTAGAAATAGCATTGCTAATAAAATTTTCATTGCTGCATCTTTGATACTTGGCATCTGTCATCCAGAAAGTCTGGTGACATATTTCTGCTCACGATGCATGTGTTCATAGCTTTTGGACAAAAAGTTACATGTGCCTTATAAATCGTGTGTACATGGTGGTTAAATTCATCGATAAGCTGAGTAATTTTCTTCAAGCATTTTGCATTTATATCTTTTTTGAGAACAGCATTCTGTTGTGTTTATAGATTTGGGTCATTCTTCCTTAGTAAGTATCTGGAATCTACTTGTTTACCCTGTACTTCCTGTCTAAAGGTAGTGCCTATGGTCTGAATTTTTAAAATTGTGGGAGTACTTATGTCTTTCATCAGTAGTTTATTCTGGAAGCTGTGTTCCTTCCAGATGCATAAAATTGTCTAGGTGAATATATCTTCAGTGTTCGTAACTTTTTTGAAAGCCAGTACTGATTTGAATGATTAAATTCAAGGTCCTGAACTAATGTTGGCATGTAGCTGCGATCTGACAGTTTTGGTAGAAATATGAGGAAACCAAAGTTTACCCAAAAAGTCTAAATTGTGTTCCTCTTAGCTGTAAAAATGTGTGTACACTACAGTACATCAGCCTGTAGAAGAGAACAGGGCCAAATATTCATGTAATCAGAAGAATCAAGTTGAAGGTGGAAGTTGATCATCAAAAGATCTTGGCCAATTGTGCTTTAATACCAAGTGAACGTAGGCTCTATGGCTTTGTATTGTTGTGAAGAATGGAACAGAGCATGGTTTTCTTACGGTTACAAAGTATTTTTGCCACATAGCTGATGTACCTTTAGTATATTTTGCTTAAGCTGTTCATATAGGTAGATTTGCATGCTTCCTTTTGTTCTTAAGTAGATTTGCTCACAAATTTTGCATATTAGAGATGTTGTGAGAAGATCTGTCTCTGATTCCCCTGGTATCTGTTTACGTTTTTATAGTCCTTTGAAGCTTATGACGATGAACAGTCATTCCTCATTTGGGATGCAGAGCTGTGTCCATGAGGAGGCTTCTAGGATTGTTTCTGCAACAACCACAGAGAGCAAATAAGGCAGGGTGGTGCTAGCAGTTTTCTGCACTGAACTCCTGCCTCAGCAGAACTGGCCAGTTGGTGCCTACTTGTAGATTCTAGTATGCATTCTTCAGGTTGCTCTGTACCTTTTTCTGGGTTGAAGTGTTCAGGAAAGAACTAAAGCATTCAGGATATTAACTGTACTTTATTTAACTTATTTATACTAGAGTGCATTGTTCTACTTCTTGAAAGAGAAAGTTAAGTTGAGGAAACTGTTGGGAAGAGTGCCAGTCATGGTTAAGCAGTTTGTCCAGATGATTTGCTAGTACTGTCTGGGAGGAGGTCATACTTCTTCCTCTGAAAGTTCCCCCAGTGCTTCATATTTGATGTTTGGGGGGTTCAAGCATGGAGCTGGTATGTTAAGATATATATGTAATTAAAGTCAAGTACTTTCAGGGTTTTCAGGATTTTATTGTTGAATGAGGAAGGGAACTGACTAGGATTATTCTAAAGGTATACTGGCATAGCTGTTGGTGGGCATGAACTTGCCTAGCTACTTTTTAAACTCACATAAACTTGCAATATCCACAACATGCTGTGGAAAGAAATATCGTAGTTTGCCATCTCTGTTATGAAGAAGTTTCTCTTTAGATTGTTGTGAACTTAACACATGCAAACTTTGATGTATGTTTTTTATGAAAAAGAAAGAAAATGTCATCAGTTATTCTCTACTCAGTTTTGCCATAATTTTATAGACCTGTGTTGTGACTCTTCCCCTGTCCTTTTTTCCCCTCATCCTGAAGAACCCTCACTATGGTGGTAATAGTGTGTGTGAAAGCCTCTGTTTTTTTCCAGTGTGAACCACTGTACCAGAACAGAGTGCCAGGTAATTTTGTTGTATCTTTTTTAAGTTAAGCAGTGTTGAGGAGCAGTGCACCATGGACTCTAGTGTCTTATTTTTTTTGTAACATCTCAACATCCGGTATGATCTATTTATGCCTGGTGAGTATCTAGTAGATGTTTTTGTCAAGTTATCATGTAACCCCAACACCTTATTCCTAAGTAGTACCTTTGACCCTGTTGCATTATAAGAATAGCTTGTCATAGGGTTATCAGTATAAAATGTAGTACCTTTCTTTGATATGTTAAAGCATATAGCTCTCTTCTGGCTGGGCATGCTTATGGACATATGAGAAAGAGTTAGCTTTAAAAATGTTTAACTAACATAAGGGATAATACTGAATATGTAGAAAATAGAGACATTTCCTCTGTAAAAGAGAAAGTACCCAAACCATGTTTTTTTTTTATTTAAGAGTTGTAAATTCACTTTTTTATTATTATTCTTTTTTATTCTTTAATGAATTTCTCAAATAATGTACTTTCTCAAAGAGTATCACAAAAAACTGTGCGTGTGAATATTTCAGGAAATGTTTCAAAGAACATCTGAAGACCTTTTTCCAAAGATGGAAAGTTCAGTTGAAGAGATGGATACCTCTGATACTCAGTGGGGCTGGTTTTATTTGGCTGAGTGTGGTAAATGGCATATGTTTCAGGTAACTACGAAGTTATATTACTTGTGACTTTTGTATGTCAAACAACTTATTGCTGAAAACATCTAAATGTACTTTTTCGTTTATTTTGAAGACTGATTCAAATAGTCATTGCTCAGTTAGCAGTGAAGATATTGAAAGGAGCTTCAGAACAAACCCATATGGTTCTGTTTCTTTTACTACTGCAAAATTTAACTACACACTAGACTTTTCAGGTATGTATATTCATAGGGTTAACTTAAATAACAAAGATGTCAGATATACCACTTAATTTGCTTTGTGTAGTATTTGCAATTTTTGTCAACTCTTACAAATAACACTTAATACTGAGGCCAGTATTTTGAGTTTTTTTTTATCTACGATGTTGATTTACTAATTGTTGAAATATGAATTCCTTTCAAGCAGCTTTTGATGTAGTAACGTTGTTTGAAAAAAAAAAAAAACAACAAAAAAACAGACTCTTAAATGTCCATATGCTATAGATGAAGTCCAGAAACATTTATCCTAACTCTTGTTTTATGCTCAGAGATGAAACAAACCAACCTAACTACCCTGAAACAACGTCCAATAAAGCGAGCTCCCTTTTCTATCAGTGCTTTCAGGTAAGGAAATAAAATGAAGCCTCCTGATTTTGATTTTAATCCCGATTTTGATTTTAATATTGACTTTTCAAAGGAAAATGAAACAAAAATGTGTTTTATGTGGACTGTCTATATTTATTTACTTTCTTTGTCAAACAATTTGAAAATGTGAGAAAGCAAGTCAAGTAAAAAGGAAGAAATTTTAGAGGGAGAATAACAAAAGGTTTCATTTAGTTATTTCTTTATTTATTGAGAAAATAAGGATTTTGTAGTGGGAGAGGCAAGACATACTGAATACTGATATCCTTCTGCAAGCTGCTTAAATTTGTACCTGACTTCAACTGTTGGATTCCCTTGCAGTAACTAACCTGTAAAATCAGAATTGCTGGTTGGAGAATTGGAGGAACAGCAGCAGAAAGAAATGGAGTAGTTTGTTCCAGTGTAACAATGACTTCCTAAATTAGTTAGAAGGAACATTGTGATGATATAATGCTCTTCTGATGTAATCTGATAGTCAATAAAAGCTAGCATACTCAGTGATAGTGCTACAGATAAAATTGACCACCTCTATTGTGGGTTACTTTTTCTAAATATTTTTTAAACAAAATCTCAGTTTTGAATTATTATCTGGTTGTATTTTTTAAAAGAACTTTGACATTTGTAATAAGAAATGTAGTAGCAATCACTTAACATTGGCATTTAGGATGGGCTGGGATTTTTTTTGCTGTTGTTGTTTATTTGCTTTTTGAAGTGTCAGCTGTTTTTCACTGTGTGTTTCCTGAAGTGTACATGCAGTAATCTTGCAATTCAACTTTTTATGCTTATTGAAGAATTTCCTTTAATACTTCTGATTCAATCAGCATACTGTCTTTTCACATGCTGACACTACACTTTAAGATTGCTACATTTACTGTCTGTTTTCAGACCTAAAGTTGCTATGTACATGCTTAAAATTCCTTTTTTTCTTTTCTAATCTAATGTAATTTTCTAATATGTATATCTAACACAGTGACTTCAGATTACTGCCCAGTGAAGGCCCAGTTTTCAGAGTCTTAGAGTAGTTTTAATTCTCGACACATAGAAATGTTCAGGCTATATCTGCACTCATGTTTCTAGATTAGTGTTGCTCTCCTGATGTTGCAGATATCTCTGACTATTCCTTTTAATTTAACTTTGTATCTCTTGTTGGACAGATGATGTAATAACATATTACCACTGTTTGTTTGTAATAAACTAAGCCATAATTTGAACACAAAGTAAGATCTTTACCTTTGACCTTAGCTGCTGACAACAGGCTTTTTCAGTATTAAACACTAAGTAGTTTTGTGTTAAGTGGTTGGGATTTTTGAGGAGGGGTGGGGGTGCATACTCTGTTGTTTGGAGAAAGAGTTCATAGGAAAATGCTTTTTGTCCTTGTTGTGATGTGCTCTTACCATTTTTTTATTTGAAGTTTCATCTGTGAAAATGAGTCCATCCCTATGCCTTCACACTGGGAGAACGTAAATCCTGAGGAGCCGTATCAGGTAAGAGTCGGTGCAAGTTGGAAAACACATAATGAAATAGTACATCATGTTATAATTGTGCTAACTTCTTTTTTTTCCAGCTTATTCCTTTGCAAAAGAAAACAAATGAATACAATGAAGTTTCTAATCTCTTTGGAAAAACAATGGATAGCCACCGAATAAAAAGAATAAAGAGAATACAAAATCTAGACTTGTGGGAGTTTTTTTGCAGGTGAGATTATTTTTAAAACCAACAGTTTTAGGATTGTTAACAGAGCAAGGCATTCAGTAAAAAAATGCTTAATTACTTTTATAGTTTTATAATTAAAATGTGTTACTTTTGTTATTATATAATTAAAATGTGTTAGTTTTATTATTTTTCTTTATTTGCTTATTTATCAATCTCTGACAGTCTTGAAAACAACTTTGAAGACTGACTTCTACAAGGGCAGAACTATAATGCAGTTGTATAAGTATTACATATATATGTAGCAAAGATGAAAGTGATGCACTGCAATATGTTGAAATTCTGGGGGAAGAACTTCAGAGCAGCCCTGTGGAGAAGGACTTGAGGGTCCTGGTGGACAAGAAGCTGGACATGAGCCAGCAGTGTGCAATTGCAGCCCGGAAGGCCAGCTGTGGTTCTGGGCTGCATTAAAAAAGGGGTGGCCAGCAGGGAGAGGAAGGGGATTGATCCTCCCTACTCAGCTCTTGTGAGGCCCCATCTGGAGTACTGTGTCCAGGCCTGGAGCCCCCAGTATAGGAAGTATGTGGAGCTCTTGGAGTGGGTCCAGAGGAGGACTGCTAAGATGATTGGAGGGCTGGAGCACCTCTCCTATGAGTAAAAGGTTGAGGGAACTGGGCTTCCAACTTGTTTAGTTTGGAAAAGAGAAGGCTCTGGGGAGACTTCCAGTACTTGAAGGCCTTGTTCTTGGAGGCCTTCCAGTTCTTGAAGGGAGCATATGAGCAGGAGGGAGAACGGCTGCTTCCTCTGTTACGCACATAGCTGCACAATTGGCAGTTCTTTTTCCTCAGGTGGCTTGGGCATAGTGCTCCAGGTCATTTGAGAAGCTTTTTTCCTTTTTTCTAGGATGTCTTTACTATCACAAGCATGAAGTACACAGTTGTTAACTTCAGGGCTTCTGGGGTGGGACTGAAATTAATCATAACCTTAGCATAGGGAATCAAGCTCTGACTTTCTAGCCCTATTAAAATTAATTATTCCAAGATTCAAAAAAATAATGATGATTGTGCTGCATTTGGTACTGTATTCATTCTCTTTAAGTAACTTTAATTTCTTGGAAAATATTGAGAAAGACATTTCTAGTATTTTTGTAAACAGTTTGATATGATCTTTATTTCATTGTAAAAGGCAAAGGTATTACTATCTATGTAGAAATGTCAGCTTCTCCTAATAATGAGATGCTGAGGTTTTTTAGTTTCATGACTGATTTTAAGGATAGCAAGCATTTAAGCAGTAACTTGTTGGTCAAGTGGTAAAGAATATGAGAGAATAGCAGCAGGTAGACTTATTAACCTATCAATATAATTTGGCTGGGTTGACAAGGATGGCACTAGTTTGTTTTTTTTTTTTGTAACTCCTCCAAGTCTAAGTTTACTGTGTTCAAATGTGATGAGTGTTCAGAATATCCACATGGTAGAGACCCACACTTTCTCATAATAAAGTAAGGAGAAAAAAAGTAAGTTTTTTTTTTTTTTCTTTACTGGCTTTTATGTGTTGAATTTGTAGTGGCCATTAGAATATTTGTGATTTGTCTAATTTCTCAACTTCATGAAACACAGGGCAGAGTTATGTCCAGTTAGCATGAATTCATGTCATTTCTTCAAATTTAAGTTGTGTTGGCCTGGAAGAACTAGAAGTAGTGAATTCCCTTTCTACTTCTTTCCTAGTATCAAGTTTTAATTATTAAGGCTTATTTGCTTGGCCTTGTGATTTAACAGTCACCTTTCTATAAATAAGTTTCTGTAGATATATTTATACCATTTCAATACATCAGTTTTTGAGACAAGAAATAGCAAGCAGACTTTAAATGTCCTCTGTGTCTCCAGTGTAGTTGATAGGGGCAGGGATGGGGAGGTGGGGAGAGAACTTGTTTGCTTACATAAGGAACAGATTTAATTTGAAGAACATTTACCAGGCTAATCAATGAGTGAAACAAATTCATGGCTTAAGAACTTGGAAGGTATGGGTGCTATGCTAAGATGTTTTTAAAGTACAAAACTGACAATGAGAATTTGAATTTCATATGTGAGGAGTATTTCATTAAGAGTTTTTACACATCAGGTGTGTTGCTATAGAACTATGAATCAAGATACTTTTTAGTACTTTTACCTTTATAAAAGTATATGGAGAAAAATGCATTTTAAAACATTTTTCCTTTATGGCAAAAATACTTAATAAAGCATAATAAAGGTTGCTAAAATATGTATATGCAATTGAGGTCTAAGTGCCTTTCTTGTCCCTCCATTTGAGAGGTAAAATACAGCTTTTTATACGTTAGTGTTCTGCCATTTGGGCTATATGGGCTTACGCACTCTGGTGTGTATTATATTACAGAAAAGTGGGCATTACAGCATTTGAACTTCACTAAAAATTCTTCTGGTGTCTCATGAGGGATTGCAAAAATAACAAAGGATTACTCTTGATCTAGCATATGTAGATTTATGCATCTCTGTTTGGAATTGCAGAGGAGCAGAGCAAGTAGCAAAGGATGTTCGGTCATGAGATTGTTGCCCTCGTATAGAAACAGCCTGCGTGCTGGCATGTATACAAGCAGCATGTTACTAGGTATTTAATTTTGCTTTAGGTTTCTCCTTTATTGAATGGACTGGCTGTATGAGAGCCTGCTTGTGTGGTGGATCAGCTTAATTTTGTTTTGCTGGATTAGTTTTTCTCTGCTGGTGAAAAGTGCTAAGAAGATGATTTTTAGAATGGCTGAACTCTTAGAGATAGAACTGAGTTCTGTTTCAAATCAACAAAAAAAATTGGCTGTGGCATTTCTGCACTCTGTAGAACCAGTTTTTCCAGTACCCTCCGGATATTCTACTATGAGAAAGATTTGCTATCTACGTTTGTGTTTTGAAAAAGTGTTTTTTCTTTCACTGATAAGGGCCGTGTTTAAATATGAGCATTGCTTAAATGGTTGTTTGCAATATCATCAGAACATATTTGTCTGTTTTAACGGTTACTGTATTATCAGATTTTAAATTATGAAATCAATTGGTTGGAGATGTGAAGGACTGTTAGAAAATGTTTTTGGACAATCGATTATTCACATTTTTCTTGGAACAAATGCGTTCTATTTAATCAGAAGTTGAAGCTGACTTTTTACTTTGTTAGAAACACCAGCCAGCAGCAGAGGGAGACTGACTGGAAAATATTCAAATATTCATCGATGGTAGCCCTTAGCTCGGAAGTTTTGCTTCACATAGGTGTTTTTCATAAGATAAAAGGAATCTTGACTCCTTCATTTTGTCAGTATGTTTACAGAGTGGAACTTGAGTGACTGGGACCTCTCTGCCTCTGACATAAAATGCCACAAATTAGATAATTTGTGAAAGCTTTTGACTTTATACTGATGTTCTTTGGATTTGGAAAACAGTTCTAAAATAATAATTTTTAAAAAGTTGTAAAGACACTTTTTAGCTAGTTAATTCATACTAAATAAAAATATGAAAGCTTAAAAATAAGACAATTTAAACATATTTTTAAGCAAAGTAGTGCAAGATGTCAATTCCTTTGAAATGTATTTATTAATAAATCATAAATAATTGCAATATAATGCCTTTAATATGGTGACAAATCTTTGCCACCTCTCTCTTTCTCTGGACTTGGTTGATAGGAGATTGATGTATCTAAGCTGTAGGCCCTGAGAATGCCTCCCCAGTTCATATCTGCGCTACAGTTATAATCAGATTGCTTAGTTTGATAAACCTGCTTTTTTTTTTTTTTTTTTTTTTTTTTCCTGCAGCTACACTGTGGTTTTAATGCATAGAAAATTCAGATACATAGACAAGAATGAAGCTATGATACATCTCAGTTTTGTATGTGTTCCATGGCCTTCTGCTCATAAGACTGTAATATAGGCTCGTCTGTTGTCTTGTTTTTTTTTCCCCCCCTTCTCTCCAAAATTCTTTAACGGTATAGCATAAGACTTGGCTCTTCTAGGAAGTATGAGAACCACAAATTCAGAAAACCATGGTCATGTTGGTAATTTTGCCTAAACATTTAGATACTTTTATTTTTAATGGTTTTGTTATTTTACTGGGATAATTATAATCCACTAAGATTGTTATCCCTCTAACCATGCAGTTTATGCAGTTGAAGAGAACAAAAACAACACTTTTTTTTTCCTGAGTGTATGTGCAGAAAATGACTGTAGTGAGGCTATCACATAAATAGAATTGATAAAAATTTTTTATAGGACCTTTTATCCTAACCTTAGATTACTTCTGAAAATAGCCTACAACATCCAGATATGATTTCTAAACATGTACCTTAAGAATTCTAATCTCTTTTAAAATATGAAATCATATAGACACTTGCAAAGGTGAAATTTATGAAGTTTTAAGTCTGTCACCTCTCTGCAGTATTTTCAGAGTAGGAACTTAATTGTTTTTGTACAAATGCTTATAATATTGCATTGCATGTTCTCTGCAGGAAGAAAGCCCAACTGAAGAAGAAGAGAGGTGTGACAACTATTAATGAGCAGATGTTATTTCATGGCACCAGTAATGAATTTGTAGAAGCAATATGTATTCATAACTTTGACTGGAGAATAAATGGAATGCATGCTGCTGTATATGGAAAAGGTAAATATTTTTTCACATATTGCAGTTTGGCAGTCTGAACTGTTCAACATTAAGTGTTCCTTATAGGATGTTCTTTGTGGTGTACTCCTGTGTTTTTTACAGAGACATTTAATATCGCTCTGCTTTTACATCAAGTAAAAGATGTAAATTAAGATGGAGATAAATGAAGAAATTAAGAATACAGTGAATAATGTAATCAGTGTAACTGTCGGGTAGGACTTGGGAGTGGGGTGGATGAAGGGTGAACTGCAAAGCAGTGTAGTTCACAAGGAAAGTCTCCCTGCTAAAATGTTCACGCAAAATACTTGCTCATGTTCTGTAGGTTGCTCTGAAAGTAATGCTTCCTATTTATTTCCATAGAAACTACAACGGATCCAAAGAGCACAATAACACAGTTTGATAGAGCACATTCTTCACTACAAAGCACTATTTTTCAACATTAGTCAGCAGCCATGAACAAGAGCCTCCATACTGCACTCATAAAAATTGACACCAGTAGAGGTGACCTACTATTTCACAGCTGCTGTGATAATGTTGTTGATAGGAAAAATGCTGCCCATGCAATCCATCTTTCATTGGCCCGAACAGATGGAAGTAGGAAGGTGCCAAATCTGGACTATATGATGGGTATGGTAGGACAGTCCAGCCAAGACTGGCAATGTGCAGCAAGGTCTTCAAACTAGTACAGGGCCTGGTGTTACCGTGTTGCAAGAGAAAGTTTGTCCTCTTCTCTGGCCTGACTCTGGGAGTTTGAGTCTTCAACTTAGCATCGCGATGTAGCGGTCAGAGTTGATGGTTTGTCTGGGTTCTAGGAAATTCAGAAGGATCCCCCCTTCTCTATTCCAAAAGACAGTCCATATCACTTTACCTACTGAGGGCAGTTTCTTGAACTTTTTCTTCAGTGGGGAATTCACGTGTCATCACTCCATGTATGCTGTTTTGACTCCAGTGCACATTGGTGACACCATGTCTCATGACACCAATAATGATGTGATCCAGGAAACTGTCACCTTCAGCCTCATTCCATAGGTCCTGACAAACTTGCACATGTTGTCCAGGGCCATTTGCAACTTGGCCTGTCTTAAACTTTGCTGCCACCACTGCTGGAATGCACCACTCACTGCTTCGCTTTGCTAACATCCACTGTTTGGTCTCCATAAATATTCAGTAAGATGCAAACAATGTCAGTGGGTGCAAGGTTTTTTTCTACATGGAGGAATTCAATGACACACCTTTGCTTCATAACACACTTCCTTGTCAGTCATCATTTTGTCAGACTGCGCTCTGCATCCATTTGTCACGTGACAGTAGAATTTAACAGAATATTGGTGAGAATTTTCAATTTCTAATGTCATACCATCAGCATAGATTCATACCTCTGACATTGTTGGCCAACATAGGATTAGATTATCATGATGTCAGAAAAAGTCATTGGATTGCTAACAAATAGGAAAGAACAGACTTTTTCATCATCCTGGTACCTACTTGTTCGTTAGAAGTTAACCTACCATGATAAGAATATAATAAGAATTTGCTTTTTATTTGAAAGGGACCTACTTTGCAAGAGATGCATCATATTCCAGTCGTTTCTGCAAAGAGGATATGAAGCATGGAGATACTTTCCAAATTCATGGTGTGAATCTGCAGCCTCATCTGCACAAACCAGATAAAGTCATGTTTCTTGCTCGTGTATTAACTGGCGACTATATCAATGGTGATTCAAAATACATGAGGCCTCCTTCAAGAGATGGAAGTTTTGTGAACTTGTATGACAGCTGTGTGGATAATACTTGGAATCCAAAGATATTTGTTATCTTTGACGCCAACCAAATCTATCCTGAGTACTTAATAGAATTCTGTTAAGTTTAATGAAGCTGAACTGAATATTTGTGTCTTTTTGGTACTTTTTTTCCTTTCACGAAAACAACAGCATGAAAGCCCAAACTGTGAAAGGACAGAGGTGAAAGAAAAGCTAGCATACGTTTATGAAGCTGTTAAACATTTAAGAGAGATTGTCCATCTGCTTTTAAAAATTTGTAAACAAACTTCACTAATGCCTTTTTACAACATAAGGGAGTATTACGAGTCTGAAATTGCTTAGTGAATGCATTAGTAAGTTTTTGTTCAAAGACAAGACTTATGTTCTGAGTTCTTGAAAATATGTTGCAAGTAGTTATTTGTGTGATAATAATATGCTTGTAATACTGTATCTCTGTGATTAAACAAACCTTTTATAAAGATTGTTTGTAGGACTTAAATCCAAACCTTCTCCTATATGTATGTATGTGTGTTTTGTAGTGCACATTTCAAGATGTACAGGACCTAATGATCAACAAAGCTGCTACATTTAGCTTGAAGGTAAGCTTCAGTTATATCCTTGCTTGGTTACAAAACTCTTTCACTACAATTTCGAGTTTGCTTTTGACAAAAATGATGCCCTAGGGCTCTTGTGGTTTGTAGCTGTTCAGTGCTGGGATGTCATCACAGCCTTTCTGAACCTTTCTGAGTTCTTGCTCTGCATTTTTGCCATGTCACTGTAGTATGTATGTGCATGCACGTATTTGCATGCAGATTACATAATCTTGTCTGATCACTGTTTAAGAAGCACTCAGTGCTGGTTTACTTGCTGTTACCAAAGATGGCATAGGTTAACTTCACTGCGAATAACACAAAGTTTAACCAACAACAAAACTTTTCAAAAGATGTCATTCTTTCATTTTTTAACACCTCAATAAAAAAGGTTTTAATAACATATGTTTAGATAGGTTTTCCTAATTTGTGTAGTTGTAAAATTAAGGAGTGTTTTTGACAAAAAGGACAGAAGAAACTATAAGTAGCATATGTAAGTATCCAAACACATGAATAAGAGCTCGAAGAAGGGAGCTGTAACTATGATATGTACTGAAATCTTAGCTGATTTGCCATAAAATTGTATTCCTAGTGATTTTATTTGCTAAGAGACATAATGAGGAACACTATGAACATAATGAAACATAAAAATGGATTCGTTAAGCCTTCCATGCTTCTTCAAGCTTACCTTTGGCTATGTAACAAATCCTTACGAACAGCATTAAGGCAGGTAGGGACTAATCTTCATTGGTTTATCATGGAATCGTTAACAGACTTCTTGGAACAATGGCTGTATTTAAAATTCACTATGTATCTGGCTTCCTAACTGTCTCTGATGTCTCGTCCTTTTCCCTTCTGTTGTTATCTTTAGCTGTCAATGGAACTTGCGCAAATTGGATGCCTGTTTAAATTTATAACTTTATAGAAGGTTTTCCGTTTGAGATAAAAATGCATATTTTTTTCTTTATCTTAGATGAATATTTGATCTCTGATTCCAGCTGAGAACTGCAGGTCCTACAGTTGAAGCATGGTTCATGTTTGATTCATAAATATGCTAGCTGTGCACACTGTTTCCCACGCTGTGTAAAATAGCACATCACATAGAGAGTTTTTAGTTACATTCGTTACATTGAATTTCATTCTTAACCAGTAGTCTACGGCATACGTCCTTCATGAAACTAGCAGAAACTCATGCTGTTGTCACTTTGATTTGTTCTTTTATTTCTTCTGAAGTTTGTACTGATCTTTAACTAGGAAGCAAAGCTTTTTTTGTTGTCTTGCTTTATTTTGTTGTTTTTTTGGTTTTTTTTTTAAGGGTCTCATAGTCACAAAATATCAGCTGATCAACTGAAGTATCTTTTCCAATAGTTCGTATTCTGTTCTCTTTTTTACTACTTAATTAAATCAAATGGCAGAATCTTACCAAATCACTGCACAATTGTAGTTTCAGCTCTTATTGAATGTGCGTTCTGATTACCAGTGATTATCTTTGTGCTGATGAATGTTGATACTTAAACTATGTCTTCCTCTTGCTGGCAAGGGGAGAGAGATTTGTAAGTGCAAGTAAAATCCAGAAAGGTAATGGTAACCAGTACAAGAAATAGTTGGGCTTAATAAAAGGAACATTGAAAGAGGAAGAATTTTTTTTTTTTTTTTTTTTTTTTTTGGACTAAGGAGTGTTAAATAAATGAAAAGAGATTTGGTGTGATTATGGGAAACAGAAGTTGCTATTGTCAATTACTGTTACATGTTGTCAAATTTTTCTTCCATTTTCTTTTAACACCTTTGTAAAAGAGCATGCTCTTCTCTCATGTGTCATACTTGAGGTAAAATTTTCTTACTCAGTTAGTTTTATTGCAGAATGTTTTCACATAGGCTTAATATTTTTTAAGATGATCTCATCTCTGTATCATATCAAATTTCATCTTTCGGCTTTGCTTTTTAGAAAACTTGTGTGTCCAGTTATGCTGAAATATTTCATTTCATTCAAAGCATTTTGGTGTCAGTATTCATTCTAGTTCATTTATAGTGACAGTTTTCACAAACTTTTGTATTCAAGTGAAAATTTGCAAAACCAAAAGATTTTAGCTTTATTTTTGTATAGAAACTGTCCTCATACCCAGTGCCTCGCTATGCACTGACTTCAAAGCTATATTTGAGATACATAATTTACTAGCTAGAATTAGTAACTTAAATTCCAGATTATGCTAAGTGCCAGTACAGCTGGTGGTTTGAAGACAGTACTGATCCTTGTTAAAACATATCAGCAAATGAGACCCTAACAGGAAAGCTAGAGGGAATTTATGCAATCTGCATAGTTGGCAATTATTTTCAGGAAGGAGACTTATCAGTTACTGATGTGCTTTGAATTGGTTACCTATGCCTAATGAGCATGTGTCAGACTTAAAATTCCTTTTCTCAGTATGTGCACCATTGCTGTAGTTGTGATTACTATTATGTACTGTGCAAAATAGTGTACTCCCTCAAATTAGGTCTAATCTATTATGCTTTACTGCTAAAAGAGAGGAAAAAAATGTGGGGACTGAGATAGAATATTCTGTTACAGACTTGTATTTCTCCCATACTTTTCTTGCTTCTCTCAAGTGACACAATTTTGGGTTAGTGTGGCAATTCAGAGGCTTGATCTTTGAGCAGCCAAAATAAGATTTTTTTTTTTTTTTTGCATGATTGCATTTCTTTTGCCATTGTTTAACAAAGACAATCTGCTTACATTGCTCAAAAATTCAGTTACATAATTTCTGTCATTTATGCAGTAGAAAAACTTATGTCATCAAGGTATGCTAGACATCAAATTTTTTTTTGCAAAAAAAACGAAAGCCATATTGCATTGCAAATAGTGTGGTCACAGGGGTGGTATTCTTGTGGGTTTTCAGAGCAGGTTTTCCTTTTTCCAGGCTTAGTTCTTGAGAATGTTACTCAAACCCTTCCTCATTCCTTTAACTGATGTCAATGTACCCAGTCACAGCAGTAGCTGGCACCACAGGCTAGGGATGCCTACACTCCCAGTCTGACTCAAGTAGCTAACACTCAGTCCACTCATATGGACCCCAGTAGCTGACACTCTGGTTTTGTTGATCTCTTTCACATCCACAACTTATGGCTCCTCCAGCTACTAATTCTAGGACCCTTGCTCAGTCCAGTAGTTGTCACCAGAGGCCAGACTACTCCCCTAGTCTGATACCTATACCTGAAGTCACTTGCACACATACAGGTCTTACTGGTACCTGGCACATAGTCCCTGTGGAACACACACACACACAGCATAGAAGGTGAGATTATGCAGGAAAGATTTCAGGAAATCAAGGAAAGATTTAATAAGAAGATATGATGATATGTGATGATGAGTCACAGGTCTGACTAGAATACTGATCAGCTCTGTTTCATACATTGTCAGCCCCTTTTATCCTCTCTTTTTTTAAATTGCCTTTATTCTTTCAACTTACCAGTGGAAAATGCAGGCTGATCTTCCTTTAAGTGGTGCTTGTAGTTTCTTGATAGCCCATCAGTTTGCATGATTAACAAGTTTTTTTTTTCTTGTCATTGTCTCCACATTTGCTTTGCTAGGTCTGTATCTCTGTATACTTTGTTTCTGGTTTCCCTATTTTTCCTTTAGTTTCCTAAATGACAGGATCAGATAACCTTACTGGAACAAACATTCTAACACTTGTACATGCCCTTGTCCGTCATACTGATAAAGTTTGTTCTCATCACTGCTTCCCTTACCATGTCAGCCAGGATGGTATTCCTGTATGTTCTTGTTTGCTTGTGGCTTCTTCTCTACCGTATTACCTTACACCCTTTTGTACTGGAAAAGCTCCTTGACCAGATATGCTTAAAGGCATGGGCACTCTGCTTCTACATGCCCTTACAGATAGTTGTGCCACATAATTTCTTAGTTGGAGAGGTCAGATTTTGTTATTATGGTAAGAAGGCACATAGTAAGTATATTTTCACCCAGTTTTCATCCTGATTCCTGAACAAGAGACAGCTGAGATGTACACAAAGATAGATAGCTTGCAATTTCTTTTTAAAGGATATTTTAGTTTTATAGAGCCTGCTTGGATGTATGGAAATAGGATACTATTTTGTGTGTGGTGGAATAAACAAGAAAGAATATGCACTACAATGAAGAGAGAGTGTACATTGGGAAAAGGATTATCTGATGCAGTATTCGAAGAAAATAAACTTAGCTTATTCAGACTTTCATCAGTTCCATGGAATACCTTAAAATGAGTTTCTCTTCCTTGTTTGCTTTGAGTTGTTATGCGTTCGACATTGTGCCATGTTAAGGACAGTAAACCAGTTTGCAGATGTGTTATGAAGCTATGTTTGTTTGTTTTTTGGTTTTTTTTTTTTCCTTTAAGAATCATCAAACACCAGAACATGTTGTTTGGAGATGTTATGTAGAATTTTCTTGGAAATTTTAAAAATCCAATTGAACAAGGCCCTAAACAACCTGCTGTGTCCAACCTTGCTTTGAACAATAGGTTGTAACAGATGACAGTTAGATTTGTCTCAAGATTAAAGCTAATTTTTAAATAATTTGACATATATATTTAATGCAGTATACCACAATCATATTTATACTAGTGCAGGTCCTGTTAGCATGATGTCAAACATAGATTTCCTTTACTTTGGCAAGTAAGATTTGAGAGCAGGTCAAACTGGAAGACCTCCAGTTTCTTAGATGTCAATATACTTTTATAGCAAATTTATAGATTTCTTGCACTGTGTTTATGACTCCGGCCGGTTTCAGTGACTTTTCTACTGATCTCTCGGCATAAAAAAAGGAAAATGCTGAAATAATTTTGAATGTTAATGAGTTCGCTCAGGTGGTACAATTTCATAGCTCATTAAAAGCATCAGCATAGAAATCACAAATAGACCTGTTGCCATCAGCCTAAATGTAGAAGAAATCTACCCTTTCCTTCCCAGCAGTATGATGGCTCTCTGGACTGAAGTAAATACCCATCACCACAAATAAACTGTGAAGTACAGCTTGTTTTATTTCAATGATGGACTTTCTATATTGCACTTGACATTTCCTGGCTTAGAGCTGCAAGTGGTCTTCTGCCTAGCACCTGCTGCTCTTTGTATTTCTAGCATTTGCATACCTCAGTGATAGAGACTGTCATCTGGTTTATAACTTAGGCTTCAGGGGGAGCAGATTCTGGGCTGCTTAATACTACACACGGACTCTGTGGCAGTGAAGCAGGAGTCCTAAGTAGAGGACTATGTCACCAGCTGATGTAGACATATGCAAGTTCATGGCCCACATGGGATGCAGGTGAGGCTGCTGAAGGAGCAGGCTGCTCACAGTCAACTCCAGAAGGATCAGGGCGATCGGGTGAAATTCCTGATATATAGACTCCTTGCCATTGAGACTATTCTAAGAATTTAGGAGGGCTTGGGAGCAAAACTCTGAAGAAGACATTTTAAATGCAGGACAAGAAGGTGGATGGAAGAAGCCAATATGAAATTTAAAGGCAAATCGTGCCTGAATGTCTTCCATAATGATTGGTTCCTTTCTCATAACTGGAAACATGGGAGGTGAGAGCATGTGTTATTACATAATGAGTTATTAAATTGGAGAGATATGGGTTTTAAGAGTGGACTGTTCGGTCAATAAGGATTTGGCTGTTTGGAGAGTCAATGGCTCTATGTCCAGCTTGAGCCTGGTGATGAGTGCTTTACCCCAGTGGTCTTTCTTGGGACTGGTGTTCTTCATCATTTTTATTGGTATAAAGCAAACAAAAGCTATGACAGAGCCTTTATTTGAGATACAGGCACTGTAGGACAAAATGTCAAAGAATGAGGAATTAACTCACCCCTCTCAGCAACAGTTTGGAAAAAAAGGTGAGCTGAAGAATGCAGTTTTCTTCACTTTGATCTCTGACACATGAGGCAGCAGGAGGAGGGAAAGGGGATTGGGGGGAAACCTGCACAGACTCAGACTACACAAGCGCTCCTGGAATCACTGCTGGGGCAGTGGAAAAGAGGAAGGGTGGATCTAGGCTCCCCCTGCTGCAGACACTCACATGCTCACATATTGGTTCAGGCTGTGACTCAGGAATTCCGCTGCAATCAGTGACTGGATAGTTGGGATTGAGTGCACCCTCAGCATGTTTGTGGATGGCACTAAGCTGAGTGGTGCAGTTGATACAACAGCAGGAAGGGATGTTATCCAAAAGGATCTGGAAAAGCTTGGAAAGTTTTCCCATGTGAAACAAATGAGTTTCAACAATGTCAAGAGGAAGGTGCTACAGGACAATGCCAGATATTTGTACATGCTGGGAAAAGAACTCACTGAGAGCAGCCATGTGGAGAAGGACCAGGGGGTTCTGGTGGATAAAATGATTGACATGAACCAGCAGTGTGCACCTGCAGCCCAGGTAGCCAATGGTTTCCTGAACAGCATCAGGAGGGGGTGGCCAGCAGATGAGGGAGGCCTCTGTCCTTCTGAGGCACTACCTGGAGTACTGCTTCCATGTCTCGGTTTCCAGCACAGGAAAGACGTGGAGCTGTCAAAGCATGCCCAGAGGAGGACCACAAAGATGATCAAAGGACTGCAGCATTTCTTCTCCAAAGAAAGGTTGAAGAAGCTTGGCTTGTTAATCCTGGAGAAGGCTCCAAGGGAGCCTCA